TCTAGAAGGACAATAGAAGCACTTTAACAGCTGAAAATACAAGTTCTGTTCATTTCTGGAGCAATGCCTGAGTCCTGGAATGGTCTTCAGAACTGTACTGGCTTTCCCTGGCCATACTCTACATCCAATATCAGCCTCAGTTCTACTCTTCTTCATTGTACTGGGATTTCTTTTGAAACACAGAACTAGCCTAAGGTACAGTGAGATATAGATTATTGTTGTAGCAAACAATTGCTTCTGAGAATAAACATTGCATTAAGGTTTAGGAGAAAGGAACTTTGACTTTTCCAAAAAGTGAGTGGAAGTTGATTAGTGAAGTGAATGGAGTTGATTAGATTGTTATCAGCTGAAAACATAGCCTACACTTTCTGGAAAGAGTGGTTGCTGAGGTCATGAATTCACATTTTCTACATCTTAACTAGTTTGATAATTTTGTTTTGTGATGAGCTTCCTTTGGTAAATGTGTTTGAAACATGAAAACTGTGTTTTGGACTCAGTACAAAAAGGAATTCTATATGCTTACAGTGAACAAATGTACTGCCCCTATGTATGTGTCTGCATGTAGCCTTGACTCTGACAGCAGGAATAGGGAGGAGATAAATTGCATTGAAGGTCTCTCAATAGAAATGTTTACTGCAGCTATCCTGTCAATTGGCCCAAAAGTCTGTTATCAGAGGTGCCTCAACTGATTGAGAGACAGTGTCTTCTCCAGCTAGAACCACAGTTTTACATTTTACAGGTGGAAAATAAACCAACAAGAAATAGAAATTTGAAAATGTAAATAAGGCTCACACCCCTCCATCAAATTATATATTTGAAATTATTAAAAATATATAAACAAAACATCTGCCAGCTCTCAGGAGGGATTAATTTTTGCTTTGAAGGCCAATTGTGGAGAAGTAATGCCCTACTAGGCATTACTAACATAAAGAACTTCTTGGGTCCTCTCACTGAAACTAAACAATATCCAAATATCTCAGATTTATACAGTTTTATGAAGCTAAATTCTACCTCATTTACTTGTTTAAGTAGATACACACCCTAAATCTCTGGGAGGAAAAGACTTGGACTATTATGTTTCAGTTGGTACAACTCCCTTCCTGTTGCTATTCATAACTATAAATATATTACTTCTTTAAACTCAAACTAAAAACCCTGCTATTTATCATCATCATCAGGGTTTTTTAGCACATTGTTTTTTTATTCTATGGTACATCTGCTGCTCAGGCATCTTTCAATGCTATGGAGGGTTTTGGAATGAAGCACAGGCTTAGGTGTCCCTTGTGTGGTATGGGTCTATCTTATATTGATAAGACACAGGTGAACCCAGCTAAAAGTGCTATTGTGCTACATATGGACTATCCTGCCCCTATTTTCTAAAATTACACAGTGAACTTTGTTGAAATATACCAATTATTTTTTTAATCAGTTAACAATGTTTTGTGTAGCATTTCCATTTCTCATATTCCCAGATTTCTGTTCTTAGTCTTGTGTATTTTATGAACTTCTGGATGTGGGAGGCTTTCCAAAGCACCTTTAACACTCTGTTGTGTCTCATCTAAAAATCTTTCCAAAGCACTCTATTGTGTCTCATCTAAAAATCCCACTTCAGTGAATAGTTTAAGTGCAATTACTGTGGTGATATCAAATGGGAGACTCTTAATAGAATGTGTTCAGGTGCCCAGATAAATGATAGTTTTGTGCTGGTTTGGGGAGTTTTCAGGTCTTGTTTGTTTTGTTTTAAATGTAAACTGAAACAAACCTACAGAATCTGAACTACTCAGGATGAATGCCTTAAACATATTGTGGAATGCATTGCTTGCAACTTAGCATTTTCCAACTGCTGCAGATATGCACTTCTAAGAATAGGGCAGAGTTTTAAATCCTACCCAGCCAACTGTGTGGGGAATTTTTAGCAGGGCTCTAATCTTTAGTTATTGCATAGTTTGGTAATGTTTTATTAAGTGAAAACAAATCACCCCATAACCAGGGACAAATCCTGCAAAAAAAGTAACAAAACCCAAACAGGTAGTGTGCTGTCCATAATAAGGAAACTACATCTCATATTCTTCTGATTCTTATTATGTTCTTGGCAAGCGCAATGAGAAAAGTTGTGATGTTTGGATCTAGGAGACTTCAATAAGATGGCAGAGCAAAATTAGGGCCTTGCAGATCTATTTTTGTGAACACTTAGTGCCAGGTTTACCAGTGCCACTGTACCAAGTGCTGCTGGTGAAAGCCTTAAAAGTACAGATAAGTTGTTCTAGAAGATGAGCTGAAGTAGGAATTCCTTATGAGAAAAGCTCTTTCTGCAGCTGGAGCTGGGCAGGGTGTGGTGTAGAAGAGGCAGGGACAAGACTTCACCAGGGAGGTGGCGAAGCCATCGAGCAGCCTGCGTGGGTTACGTCAGCTGGTCCCTTCTCCTGAGGCATGGGCAGAGCTCTCCTGTTGCTGCTTTGAGAAGCTGCCTGACGAGTCCCTGCCTGTAGCACTGGAGCTCAGACTGTTCTGCAAGATGAGATGAACCTTATCTGATAGCTCCCAGCAGAGCAAAGAGGAGTGACTGCTTTCTCCTCCCACACTTCCAGCCACATTTTCCTGTCACTTCCCTTCGTCTGATTAATCTGTGAAGCAATTATATTTGCCATTCTGTCAGGAAAGTAATTAAAAAGAAAACTTGAAAACAAACCTAAATCCCCAAATCCATGAGTATCCACTATGTCAGTGAGCTGAATAGGCTCAATAGCAGATGACAGGAACAGTAGTATTAGGGAGTAAGAACTCTAATTCTGATCAGGAGACAAGCAGCAAGAGAAGAAAGGTGTAGGAAATGTGACTTCTGGCAGCCACCTTGCAGGCCTCAGGCTTACCTGAGTGGTCCAGGGACCATAAGAGGCCTTGTGCTGACATGTATGATAAGCATGTATGCTTAGCTATTTATCTGAACCTTGAAACTGCTGTGAAAACACGATGACTTCAGACTCTGGCAATCCTTCCTGTGCTTCCAGATATTCAGTATCCTCCACTGTGGGTGGGCAAAAAATATCCCACATACAATTTGTTTTGCGTAAGCGTTTCCAAGTATTAATGGAAAAAAAAAACCAACATGATAAGATTATGTAAAACTTTATTGTTAGCAGAGGTGATAAAATTGTTTATGTCAGATGATGAGTGTTGCAAACACAGGCCTAGTTTCTTCAGTGAAGACCTGTTGTTTTTTGCTGAGGAGTTTGTTATTTGGAAGCAGCGACTGAGGAAAAACTCTCAGCTTGTCAGTCACTCGGATGTTAGTGTCAGCTGTCCCCTGTCCGTTCCCAGAGCAGGGAGGTCACCTCAATGCCACGGGGCTCTGGCAGCTGACGCCGGCTGTGCGGGGTGCCAGGAGTGGCCGCGCAAGCAGCTGAACCTGAGCAGCCATCCGGATGCCTGTGACAGTATGTCACCAACTCTTATTTTTCAACAGATTCAAATATTTATCTGCTGCTTCACACAGCGCTGTACATTTACTTAACCCTTTATTTGGAGTGGTGATTATTAACTAGGAGCAAAAAACGTGATATAACAGTTTCCTTATTTTTTGTGGAATTTTTGTTTTGATTGTCAGGATTTCAGACCTGTTTAATAGGTACATTTTTCTAATCAGAAAGATATTATTGTCCTTATTTTTACCTGGATCTGAAGTGGATCCTCTTAGTGGTATTCTGCTCTTTGCTTGGTATTTGCTCATGGTGAAATTTTGGAAGAATTTTTTACTGATATACTGGCTCTGTGGAGCTGAAGGAAGACATCCTGCTTCTGTCTCCATGTACCATATTCCCACAGTTAACATGGCTGTCTGCCCATTGAATCTGCTCACTAAGCTGGCTGAGAACTAACCAAGCTAAAAGGTGGTTATTGCTATGTTGATGAGTCAGATCATTGCCCAGGGAAGCCTGATGAGTGCCAAAATGTGGTCAAGAGAGAAGATAGAAGGTGAAACTGTGGCTGCTGGAAAATGCAAAAGAGGAGGAAAGAGCAGTGGAAGTGGAGGGACAAGTGGGAAGAAAGGGAAAGTGGTAAACTGTTAGATAAAATGTGGTGTTAAATGTAAATATACCTTTACAGACTACGTAACACAATGTGTGGAAGCTTTCTTTTTTTCCTTTTCTTCCCCCCTGGAGGCTGAATAGGCCTTTGAAACACTTTCATCAGATCAAATGTTAATATCTTACTACCATTCATGGATGCAAAGAATTATCTGGTTGTATGAAAGACTATTTTCGGGACTATAAAAATTCTTTTCTAGTCATATCTTCTAAAGATGTGAATGGGCTCTTTACCCAGTGACTTAAGGAGAGCCAAGCTAATCTACATGTGATGGCAATGCTTCATTACATATAATTTCTGAAGAGTGTCTTTGCATATTTCTCTGCAGCCTGGCGAGTAGGACCTGTAGTTGGTTTGGAAATCCATTATTGTATTTACAGATTTTTCACTGTCCAAATGCATTTGGAAACTGATGGCCTGCAAAGGCTGGAGTTAAATACTATTTTAATAACCTATTTCAACAAAATCTTTGAAAATTTGGAAATACCATTGTGTGTAGCTTGTAAGTGAAATGACTATTTGAAAAGGGTTTGATGCATTGTGTTAATCTGGAAAAGAGGCTTGTCAGGTAATTTCTCATTTCACTGACTATTACAATAGCCTGCTGCCAAATGGATCTAGCTGTATTGTCAGGCAAACAGCTGATGCAGTTACAAGACATTAAGAAACTTGTTCTTGGGGTTTGAATTAGAAATTTAATCCACATTTCTTGCTTATAGTCACACTGAGCTGAGCACAGTGTTGGTGTTTGAAAGAAAAACCAGGAACATTACAACCACTCTAGTTAACATCTATCATCCTCTTATTTTGTTGATCTGGTTTCTTATTTTGATAATGCAGGTCAGGATTGTAATCAAAAGTTGTCATTATATCATGACTCCTGAATGCTTGTATGACAAGTTTTATATTCTCAGTTTCCAGTGGGCTGCCATTAATGGGAGAAGAACCAAAACATGAGTAGCAGGCACATCAATCTCTCCTTTCAGTGAAGGAACACCACACATCAGTGTAAGTGGCATCAATATCTTTTCACATAGTCTACACTTAAACCAATAGAAGTTAATAATGAATTTATTTATATGTGTGTATTGTTTTCTGCTGAGATTCAGGAACATTCTTTGTAGAAATACCCTTTCTCCAATTGTATGAAGTAATTGGAATGTTCATATTAGTACTTGATTCTCTTAGGAGACAGCCATTTAGATTAGTATGGCTTGGAATTTATACCATAAATCTCAGAAATTGTTGCAGTAGTTTATTGTTGATTTGTTTAATGTCATAGCTCAGAAATGGAAAAGTTAAAAGTTAGATGGGTCAAAAACTTTAATAACACAAATTTAGACCCCCAGCTGGAAGAGGGAGGCACTTTGGGGGAACCTAATGATCTGTCTGAAGGAAATGGGACCTTAAACACAGCTGAGGGATCTTAGCTCTCTTTAGTTCTAAGAAATGTCCTACATCAGTGCTGTATTGTTCTGAAGTGATTCTTTTTACCAGTTTAAGTGCATGGAATATATTTCACGGTTGACACAGTTTCACTTCATATGTGTCACATTTAGAGAACGTAATGCCTTTAAACAAATAGACATATTTCTTATATACTCTTCTAGCCTCTCATAAATTTAATAATTCTGTAAATATTTCAATAAAATATTGACAGGTCACAGTTTCAGGTTTCTATTTTTAATACTTGTTGCATCATGGTTGGTTAAAAATATAAAGAATTTGCATTTTTAAGAGTGTCCCTCTACCACCAGATATTGAACAGCTTCTGCAAATAAGAGATCTCTTGGGGGATGGCAGTTCTTGGCAAAGGCAGTAACTGACTTTTAGTAACCATTTGACTTCAGGGAACTTTGGAAAAAAGTTTCTGTTCCTGGGAGATCTGATCACTGCCTTTCTGCAGCTAACTGAAATAATTCCATAAAGTATGTGCTTGAGTTCTCAAGAAGTGAAAAACAGATTAGAAAAGGAGATGTTTCCACATGTTATGATCACAACTCCTATCTATGATTAGGTTAGTTTCTCTGTGTTCAGTGACTCAGGGACTTGACCTGACAAATAGTTATGTTGGGGGTTTTCAGAGCTGTGTGTCTTATACTGGCACTAATGGGGTTTTCCAGGGCTGATCTCACACTGCAGCTGTGTACTACCATATACAAATTAGCAATTAGAGTTGGCAGTGTTGGCAGTGGAATGGTGGCTCCCACCAGGGGCTTCAAAGTAACTCTTCCTCCAAATCCTTATCCCTTTGAATGCAACTTTTTTTCCTTAGTTGCCTTACTCTTATGATATCTTCAGCAGAACTGGCTGCAACACCTCAGGTCCTGGCTTGTACTTTCTCCAAACTGATAATGCCTGCTTTCCAAAAAACCCTTGTGAGAGCCTCAACCCCTTCCACCTCCTCCTACTTCAGTTAGACATTATCCTAATCCTTGGTCTTTCTCCTGTCCTATATTAATCCCATAAACCCTGAGCAAATCTGCCTACCTCTGTCAGTATTTGATGAAGAAGGTCCAGGGGACAGCTCCCAGTGTGCACCATCTGCACTGATAGGCTGCAAAAAACTGATCACAGCTTGAATGTCCACATTTGCTTGTCCCTAATAAGCAGTTATGAAATCCACAGAGCAGCTCTAAGTGCTCATAAGATGTTCTAATTTTTTTTTTTTTTTTAATACATATTGGCCCTTTTGGTTCTGTTATGTATAATGCTTGTAGTATAGGACTGTCTCTGAGTTCATGAAATTTAAATTCCAGTTGTGAAAACAGCAAGAATAATACAAGAAGGGGTGTATAGGTCAGATTTTGAAAGCATGACTCAAGCAAGTGGGATTCTGTCCTGGTTACATAGAGATTTCAATCAGAAAAATATGACTGCTGATTCTTCTTGTTTCTCTTGCAGAAAATTACTTTGAATTATCCAATTAACTTTTTCTTAAATGTACTTATCCACTTGTGATTTTCTAATTCTTGGAGGTAAAAGCTACCTGTAGTAGAGCTTGCCAAAATTATTTTATATAAAAGGCTAGAAGTTGACAAAAGCCCTCCTCTGCTAAAACAACATATTGGAATTCTTTTTCTGTTCCATCCCCCCCCTTTTTAATGCTATTTGCATCGTGTCAATGAGTTCTAAAATAGTTAGATCCTACAATCTATTTTCTTACATTATCATTTTAGTTGTATTTTCTAAGTCTAGTTTTTAATTTAATTTCCTTGTTTTTCCTGAACATTTGAGTTGTTAGCTGACAAACTTTTGCTCTGATTTGCAGGAACACTCCTGGCTACTGAGAACAATGTCTAATCTCTCTAATTTTCAGTTTACCTCTATTACTAGATACTCTCCGTTTCAGAAACAAAGGTGGGATAGGAATTAGTTTCATGCTTTGGTTTATACAACTTTGATTATTTAACTATTTTGTCACTTAATCATTCAAAATAATTGGATCCTCCTGGACATTAAAAAAGTTCATAATTTATGAACAAGGTGCTCTCTCTTTCCATGTGTATGTGGGATGATTAATAAAGTTTCCCATCTGTCATGCATTCTAGAATGATAGGCTAAATTAGCATTATGTCTGGGTTAATTTCAGCACTTCAGAAGTTTACAGAGAGTCTCTGATGGCTTCTGCCTCCAATCTATTTAATGACAAGACTTAGAATTGCAAAAAAATGCTTTTGAGCATTTTTCTTTTAAACCTTGGTTCACAAGGCTCATATCAATAACAAAGCCTTATGTAGGCATAGCTGAAGATTTCTATTTTCCTTCACACTTCTGCCATCATGAAGGCTCTTCCTTAGCAGTGTTTCATATTTGTTCACTGACAATAATGTCTGAACATGGCAAATGGACCTTTGCTGTGGTCCTCTGCAATACTGAAGTAACAAACTGCTCTAAATGTGTTTTGTGGTTGTAAGAAAGTGAATCTTACTTCTTTTTGTTAAGGCTCATATGTGTAAGAATACTGTCAAAAGCAGGGCTGCGTGTTTAGGAAGGATGAAATTCTTCAGATTAAGGCATTCCCTGACACCTCAAGATTCTGAGGAGAGTTTGGGAGTCACACTGAATCATCAGATGAATATTAGCTCTGATAGCAGACCTGTAACTAGAATGGATAATGTTCTAAAGAGTTTGGGAGTTCCTGAGTTAGGGATGAGTTGTGGGGAAGAGATTTTACTGGAAATGTTTCAAGAGAGATGCTGAAATCTGACTGGAATGTTATGAGAAGAATAATAGAAGAATTTAATAGAAAATATGTTCTACAAAACAAGTAAAACTCATTAAATAGAAAGTTAATTGGCTCTTCAGGAAAACACAGTTTCTTACTGATTGGAAAAAAGGCAACATGATAACAAAATTCAGTGATTGGATTTGGAAAGGTGAAATTCCTGCATGGGAGATTTTTAAGAGGGACAATAGTTCCAGGGCAGTGACAAAAGCAAAGTCATGAAACCTATCACAAAATCTGAGAACATTCTTAGCATGCTCAGGAAATTGGCTTAATCAAGAGTAATTTAAAATTTATCTTATTGATATTTTTTTCAATTTCTTTTAGATTTTTCACATTTCCTGAAGAAATTATTAAAAATCTTAACAGTTCAGAATTTGCTATTTGTCCAGGATAGGTGATTGTTCTGGCTGTCAGTATTATAATATAATTTACTGTGCCAGTTACAGAACGTATTTACAAGACATGACAGTTGCTTGCAGCCTTCCTTTTGGAACTTTGTACATTTTAATCAGTAACCCAGAACCAGAGATTTTCAAATAGAGACTAAATTTGCCATTCTTTTTTGGTGTCATGAAGGAAGAAATGCGAGTATAAAGATGCTATCTTTTCATGAACCAAGGAGAATTGTGAGTGAATCTGTGTAAGTCAGGAAAACCAGCCCTGCTTCTCTGTGTATTTACTGCTTCCCATCTGACAGATAGGCAGGATGGTGCTTTCCTAGCTCACAGAGAAGTGTGCCATTGTTGAATACGGACTGTTCCTTGCACAGCCATTTAGATGATGTTTGAATTTGGAGTGTACCTAAAATGATGGTTGTTCGCTTGGTAAAATAATTGTTGGATAAAAAAAAAAATCACTTGAAATAGCCTTTTTATTTTTAGATTTCCATGCAAAATAACAATTGCAACCAACCATAGTAATAATGGAATACTGCCAAAACTGTGCTACCAAAATTCAGGCCAGCCCAGCGCAGAAGAGAATGGAAGCATCTGCTTGATTTTTGTTGAAAACCCTGGAACTCATAAGTGAGTGCTCACCATGAAGTGTAAGCTGCCTCTGTTTCAAAGGATGTCTCTGTTCTAATTTGTGTCTGTTGCAATAAGGCTTCTGTGCCTTATTGGTCTCCAGAACTTTACCTTTTAACAAATTATTTTGGATGGCATGTACCCAGCAGCAGGCTAATGTGCTATAGTCATCATTAGCAAATGTGCTTTGCCCTTGAACAATCTCCTATGCTAATCATTTTATGCCATCACCATCCCTTTTCAGGAGTAGCTGCCCTTGCTAAAAGCAGCCTGACCCTGTGGATTTGCCAGGGGGAGGTCCTGTCATGTGATTTAGTCCCTCTTGAAAAAGGTCTCTGTGTGTGGCTTGGCTGACTTCTCAGTTCATTGCGTGCTGACACTGAGTGTAGCAGGCTGACTATCTTCACAGAGGGCTATAGTTCAGCTGATCTTAGAGGTATTTTCCAACCCTTAATGACTCTATGATCTCATCTGCTGCCCTTTCTAAATGAGCAACCAGACTGATGTCATGCTTTAACAGATGATGGCACTGGGTTTGGTGATGAGGCCTGCATATTACTAGAATGTGTATCTAGGAATGTAAAATCCATAAATATTCTTCTTACATGTGTATCTCTATAAATTAACTGCTCCTTCCCTCAGAGATCCGACCTCTGACAAAGTGCATTCTGTGCAGTCTCTTACCATCACTGTTACATATTGAGGTCCAGTCCAACTGGGAGTTTTACAAACATTTGGACAGTGGTGTCAGT